CTATATCGGATTTATATCGGTATCAGCAGATATTGAAATTTATGATATCGGTATCAGACATAAAAAGTGGTATAGTGCCATCTCTACCATAGAGTGAGATCAACCAGACTGCATTAACTCAAAACACTCCTAGCCTTTCCTATTTAAGAAGAAGTTTCTAACACATTAAATGAAAAGAAAGGCAACTTTGGAGATTCCACTCATTGTAAAACAAAACCTTATAATTCTGAGTCAATGCCGAGACCATACACATAAGAACAAGAAGACACCACAACCGAAGACTGCCGGGAAAAGTGGGTGAAGAACTTATTAAATAGGAACCTCCCTGAAACTGAAAAGAAGAAGCTAACCAAAGGACTCAATTTTGCCATTTCTCCACCACAGCTGCCCATAGTGGACCTCATCACAGGCACAGAAACAGCGATACGGATTAATAAATGAATACTTCCTATGAACAACACCTATGACCCCTTAAGACAAGACCTCAGAAGCAACTATAAAAATAAAGTCATCAGTTTGAGCGGTTTCACTGCATCCTCGGTATCTACAAGTAGGCATCACGGGGCTGTGTGGATTCAATAATACAGAGAGTGCAGAATTATTAGGCAAATGAGTATTTTGTCCACATCATCCTCTTCATGCATGTTGTCTTACTCCAAGCTGTATACCGATATCATAAATTTCAATATCTGCTGATACCGATATAAATCCGATATAGCGTATTTTATAATCAATAAAACGTTTTGTTTTTTTTAAATATCTTTCTGCATTTTGTATAAGTTCATACTCAAGTTTAAAAAAACTAAACTAAACTAAAGCTACTCTGTTACACCTGTATGCAAAAAAATACACTGCACCCAAAATATTTAATAGTTCAGCAAAAGTGATCAGTCTAATAAACTTAAAGCTGCACCATCCTTCCTATTCTGGTATTTTAAAGAGAACTTAGCAGAAATAGTAAATAACCTAACTTATAGGGTTGCCAACTCCCAGCAAAAAAGAAAGGGAACCACCCCCCACCTTCCGCCTTATAATGCTTAATTGACCTAATCGACTTTAATTTAATGCATGTTTAAAAAACAAAGTGCACAGAAAGGACAGTTTAAGTTTAAGTGACAGTTTAAGTTAATAACTGTTAATACGTTACAGCTGTGTTGTAAGCCTACGTTCTGTGGAGCACAGTGCACTAAAGAGTTGGAGTTAGAGCACAATGTGACAGGTTACACTAATATAGTGTTTTTAACTGCTTCTGTTTTTGCTTGCTTTTAAGGAACAAATTATCTTACAGTAATTACACTGTCAGCTAGTCTCCATAAAAATACAGGAAATGCAGAATTATTAGGCAAATGAGTATTTTGTCCACATCATCTTCTTCATGCATGTTGTCTTACTCCAAGCTGTATAGGCTCAAAAGCCTACTACCAATTAAGCATATTAGGTGATGTGCATCTCTGTAATGAGAAGGGGTGTGGTCTAATGACATCAACACCCTATATCAGGTG